GTTGTTAGACGTAAGGAATAAGTTACTGACACTTATGCCAATTAGAACTAGAAACAAGCCAGGATTAATTAATGCAGTAGGCAATATGTCAAAATGGCTCTTTGGTACAATGGATAAGGACGACAGACAAAATATACAAAGACATCTTTTACGGACAAATGACACAATCAACCGACAAATCAAAATAAATGATTATTTTGCCTAAGCTATTGAACATCTCAAGGAAATTGTTAAAAGTGATCGAGTAAAAATAGAAAAAGAGCTTAATTCCATAAACAAATTCATGTAAGACGAATATAAACAAAATGTATACTTAGATCAATATACAAAGATTCAATTACTGAAAAGTAGAATTGAACACCTTCAGCTAAATATGGTATAATACATCCAAATATATTAACAAGTGCGGAAATAGTAAAATATAATATCGATTATAATAAACTCTGTAGTAAATATCTACAATTGGGCGCAGTAATTCTAAATAATAAAAATTTAGTATTCGGCATAAAAATATCTAAAAGCTTTGAATATGTTAAAATAAGAACCGTCATTCCAATACCCAACAAAGAAAAAGATTAAATAGAAACAAAAATAGAAGAGATATTTCCTTATGAAAATAAAACATTAATATTTGAAGAAAATAAATTATTAAAAGGAATGAAGCTTAGTAACCACTGTATTTTAAGAAATAATTGTCATCTTAAAAACTAATAGATTTACAGCTTAATCACTAATGTTATCAAGAACACCCAATTATAAATGGAAACTACCTAATACTTGTTAATAATTGTTCAATCAAAATTAACGACTAATACTTTTCTAATTAACCACCACACATGCACATTAATACACTAAAATTGAATGGTTTTATAGTGTATACTTAAAAAACACTTCTGAGAAAAAGTTACGATTTTGGTTTTAAACAGTGCATACTTCATTAAATGTTGTTATTCAAGTATGTATGTAAGTTAACATCAAGATGTAACCCGCATCGAGGTACTTAAGCGGGTTCTTTTAAGTACCCAACCCGCCTAAGTACCCCAAAAAGCTGACATTTTTCGTGAGGTACTTAAGCGGGTTTTACTGTATATTGAAAATATAAAAGAAAATATTGTCAGCTTAAAATAATAGCGGAACATAGATCAAACATAGAAATCATTTTTAAATTGGGAGTTCAATAAATAAAAAAATAAAAAGTAAAATATCGCATATCTGTAATATTTTAAGACATATACCGATCAAATTAAATAAACGAATTCGAACCCTTATATCAAGGAGTTCTATTCCGCTAAACGTGTAAAGTGATTTTTTAAGAACGTGCTTTGCCGATTTACGTACGAAAATCGCACGATTCAATCAAAGCAAAAGCCGAAAATAATAATGTATCCTTAAAGATTAACCGCGAGTGTTCGAATTCACAAAATTTTTAGCTCGCACGCTTCAGTCAAAGTAAAAGGAGAAAATAATAAAGTATCCTTAAAGATTAACCGCGAATGTTTTGAATTCACAAAATAAAAAAATCGCGCATTTTAAAATATCCTGCAAAGGATTAGCCGCGATAAATAAAGGCTTGTACAGCCAATAACAAAAAATTAAGTCCAATCTATAATTCTGCTCAACTCTGCGATTCTAAATTCCAGACCCTCCAGAATAGAAGAGACTGCCTTCCTAGAAGGGATCACAAATAAAAAATTAAATAATCGACAGCTACAATCACCAAGCAAGGACGATAACTACAGTAAATACTCGTAGGGCTACAGATTATGAAGCCGAAAGAATAAATGAAAATATAGTGTGCCAGGAGTCCCTTGACGTGATAAAATCACTAGGGAAAAGTAAACGCGTATGCTAGCTGGAGAGAAGCAGCTCATAACGCAATAAGCCTGTACGTGAGAGACAGTAGAAAATACTTCACGGCTCTTACGATTTTGAGAAACAAAGTAACTCAGGACGCGAATGATGTCCTAACAAACCACGGCACCGTGTTAAATTTCGACGCGATAGTCGCTCGCCTTGACTTCGCGTACTCGGACAAACGCCCGATACACATTATTAAGCAAGAATTAAGCGTGCTTCGACAAGCCGTAATGTCGGTTGTAGAATATTACAACCTGGTCAACAAAAAATTGACCTTATTAATAAACAAAACAATAATGAAACATGGCAATGCGTCAGATATAACCAAAGAGCTTAGTAAGAATAGGGATCACGCCTTAAGAATTTTTATAACAGGGCTCAATGCACCCTTAAGAGATATTATTTTTTTCGCTTAAGCCGGACGATTTGCCTGATGCTTTGGCAAAAGCACAGGAGCTCGAATCAAACAATCAGAGAGCATTATTTGCTCAAAATTTCGCAACTGAAAAAATAAGAACTAGGTAACCAAAATTCTCAAGTAATAACTTGAGGTTCCCATTAAGGAACGACATAACAAAACCAGAGCCCATGGATATAGATCCATCGCTATCAAGATTCCGGAAAAATATTGTTACCAAACCGCAACAAAATAATGGTTTCATAAATACAAATATGGCTATCACGAGTGCTTTTGCAGCCATTAAGAATTTGGGCCCTCAAACCCAAAATGCTCACGATCCGAAGCGACCATAGCTTTCGTCCGCAGGAAAGAACCCAAAGGGTAAACAATTTAAACGAAAGTCATTTTTTAGGGGAAGGGGGGATGTCCTCCCTTTCATCAACCTCTACGATGCCAAATTAGACAAACATTTAAAAGATCTTGTCTATACAGAGGCTACCTCATGTTATATTAGGCAGGGGGTATCTGAAAATAGGAACGAATTAGCCATTTACAAAATGGTAAACTCCGTGAATGTTTATTAAATCATTAAATATTACCATTTGATAACCCTATTTGGAGTCAAACAGGGTTTTTATGAAATAGAAAACTTGAAATCCGATCTCCTTTTGGGGTATAATTTATTGAATAAAATTGAGGCGCGTATCGACGTGCCCAATGAGAATTTTTTTTTTATAAAATAAAAAGTGATACCGAAAGTGTTGAAAACAGCATGAACAGCATGAATAAAAGTAATAAAAAATTACTAAACAAATTAAAACAAAAAGTTTGCAAAAAACCAGCCGATACAAAAATTGGCACTAAGGAACATAAAGTTTCCGATAAAAAAATTTTAGCATGCATGGTAGTATACTGTATTATTTTGTACTTGTGCATGATGTTTTGTAGTGATCTGAGTTTCAAATGATCCAACATAAATGTTCGTTATCACACTCTCATTTACATTTCCCCCTATATAATTTCTTATGTAATATTTATGATATGTAAACTAAACGGCATCTCTGTATTGTCATATTTAAAACTAACCACATAACACGATCTGCGGCGATATTGCGGCCATGTTGCCTTCGAGTCAGTTGTAGGGATGTCAGTGGCAAAAATACATCGATGTTTTTCTTTGATTCGATGCATCGAAATGTACATCGATATTTTTCGATGCATCGAAGGGCATACATCGATGCATCGATTTGCATAGGATTTTTCAGATAATGTCTCACAACAAAATATGTTATTAGAAAAATTTTAGAAAATTTGAAATAAATTACTGCAACTGAGCTAATTTTGTTGCTAGCGGAACTTCTTGCAGCCATTTAAATTTTTTGGCCAAAGTCACTTCTTTTTTTTGAACAATTGAAAAACTGGGATGACGGTTCAATGTACCGTAGATGTCAGTTTTCAAAAAACATCGATACATCGATACATCGACTATTTATACATTGAGTGGAAAATTTTCGATGCATCGAAGCAAAACATCGATATTTTCGATGCATCGATGTTTTTCCGACATCCCTAGTCAGTTGAATAAAAAACGAAAAGACGAGTACAAGCAATTGTCGTGTGTGAGTTTTATTGTTTAAAGTATCAGAAGAGGTTTTCACCCAAAATGCCTTCAAGTGAAGAATTAAGTAAATTGTACGCTGTTGAGCAACTAAAATCATGTTTGCGTTCGCTCGGACAGAAAATATCAGGTAATAAAGCCGAATTAATTATTCGCTTACAAGAAATTTCTGAGGAGCGTCGTGGAAGTTTTCAAAATTCGGCAGTTGACGCTGACGCTACGCAAGACGACAACGGAGACAAGGGGCAAGCCAGTGGAATCAACGAAGGAGCGAGCAGTGCAGACGTCGTTAATGAGTGTGGTGTAATTTTACCGAAAAACGACGACGCAAATAATCAAACGAGTGCTGCAACTAAAGAAAAAGAGAGTCATGCAGTAGCAATGCTGTGATGAAAAAGAGAGTGATGCAAATGAGTGGCGACTCTTAAAATATGAGTTAGCATTGCTAAAGCGTGAATGTGAACTACAAAAGAGAGAAAATGAAATGCTAAAGAGCGAAAAAGAGCAGGTTAGGATTAAATTTGATGATTTGATACAGAACCAAATAATTAAGCCGAGTAAGTCTGAGTATTCTTCTCCCATTGTTTTAGTAAGGAAGAAGACGGGTGATATAAGATTATGTGTAGATTTTCGTAATTTGAATAAGGTAACTTTGAAAGATAACTTTCCATTGCCTCTAATTGATGACTTGCTTGATAGGCTAGCAAATAAAAGTATATTTTCATTATTTGATTTAAAGAGTGCGTTCTATCACGTATACATGGTAGAAGAATCGGTTAAGTACACTTCCTTTATAACGCCTTTGGGTCAGTATGAATTTTTAAAAATGCCATTCGGCCTGAAAAATGCGCCCTCGACATTCCAGCGTTTTGTCAGCCATGTTTTC